ATCTCCTGCCCTCAGGTGTGTATGTCCCGGAAGTCCCAAGTCCTGGGAGTTCACGCCCAGGGAACAACCTTGGTTGATGGGAGAATGGAGGCGAGTGGATAATTTTGAGGTGCAGCACTTGAGAATTTTCAGACAGTCCCTGCAGGATCAAGCCCAGTTGACCACAGGGATGACCAACAAGGAAATGTGTCTTTACAATAGCTTTCCTACCTCCCATTTCTACTGCCCCAGTCCCCCACTCCTGTTCCTGATGTCACTTCCAAAGCTATGCTAACTGCACGCAAGCTCCTGTCTCCAGCTCCTGCTTTGGGAGAGGGCACAGGGACCTATGCTGGTTTTCAAAGTAAACTGATTAATATACATCTGGGAAGGTCAATATTCCATATAATGTATCTCCAACTCAAATGACAACTATTTCTTGATTCTTCCATGAGAGAAGGAATACTGTGATGGTGGAAAATGCCCCGAAAGAGCAGGTGTGGGTTTCAGTTTAGCCACTAATTAGTTACATGACCCAAGCTACACCATTTAACCTTTTGGAGCTCAGTACCTGATCTATAAAATAAAGGAGATGATTTGGATTACATCATGTCCACAATTGTATATTTGTGAAATAAAAGCATCTGGGTGACGGTTTGTAGTGGCTGCCATTCCCCTCATTAACCCTACGGATTGTTTTGTCTAAAAAATATGGCAACACTTTAATGCAACTTTAGACAAGCAAGTGAAACAGCCTCCTGAAGGTCTAGATTAGGGAATGAGTAGCTATTTGGAACCTCAGAAGACAATAATGCTGACAAAAAGAGAACAAGCTGGCTTCTTTGGGAGTCAGCAAACAGCAGGGGCTGTAGCATTAAGATAAGAACAGAGTAATGAGAAAACGAGTTGCAACCAACTTCCTTGGCTGCGTCCCAGCGGTCACTCAGTGATTCAACACATCCCTAACAGGCCTTGACAAATGGACTCCAACTGGGGAGATTTTTTTCCTCCTTAGAAGTTACTTGGGAACTTGGCTTGGGAAAATGCTTTGACTTTGAGAAAAATAACACAAAATCCTACAAGTGTCAGAGAGAGGAAATAAAAACATTGAAGGGGTATAGGGCTCCATGAATCCCAAATCAAGGAACATCATTCCAGAAAAAGATGGAAGATCAGGATAGCTAAGTCAATCATGAGGGCCACAAAACATGCAAAATAAATGGGCTATAAAGCAATGAGGTTGCAGATGTTGCCATTTATAAGACATACAAGGCATTTATGAGATGTAATAAGATACATAACATAGGTATTGTTAGCTCCATTTTACACATGAAGAAAAGAGGCTCAGAGAGGTGAATAATTTGTCTGATGACACAGAGCCAGGTGGTGGCAGAGCTGGGATTTTTGTTTTTAAAATATGTATTAAAAATTAATTAAATTTATATTTATCAAGGTAATACATGCACATAGTTAACAAATCAAACAATACTGAAAAGCACATAATGAAACAAAACAGTGTTTTCCATATTGCTGCCTTTTGTTCTTTGAGTGTATTTCCCAGTGCTTTCATTTCATGTTTTATTTTGGCCATAATATTCTTAATTTCAAGAGCTTTTTCTTCTTCTATGGTCACTCCTATTATTTTTTAAAGCATCCTGTTCTTGTTTCATGGATGAATATCTTAGCTGTCTAAGGATATCAACAATGGTTTTTGGGTTTTATTTTCTTCTCCCTGTTTGCTCTGAATATAATTTTTTCTTATTTTCTTTGGCTTCTGTATTTCGTATGGGAGGTCTTCACAAAATTTTCTGTGATTCTCAGTATCTGTTTGCATATAATAGTAAGGCATTAAAAGACTGAGCAGGAGTTGTATGTGTGCATCCCACACACACATTACACAGGATGTATTTATACTAAAAATTATTCATTGTTTATATGAAATTCAAATTTAACTGGGCTTCTTGTATGTCCATTTGCTAAATCTGACAACCCTGGGTATATGGCTTATGAACTCCTACCTTCTGGGTGACTGGGCTATAGGTTTTCAATCCAGAGATTTGTTCCATTTCACTTCATTCCCTCTCCTGAGCTCTGTCTCTCCTTCCCACCTTGTATTTTCCTCAGTCCAGAGTCTGCTCTTTCATTTCTCCAGGGGATAAACCTTTAGCTGTCTCCAGGGGTAGAGGAAAGAAGCTAACTGACCACTTTGGGAGAGCATTTTGTGGGCTCTGCATGTTCTGTAAACTGGCTTGCTATCGATCTCCTTATCTTCCTTAAGCTTTGAGAGTCACATTCCCTTTTCATGGCACATTTTGTCTCTGGGGTCCAAACAAGGTCTTACAGGGCAAAGTATCTTGCTTCTCAGAGCTATTCTCTGTAGGTCCTACTTTTCACTTCTACTCTGCTATATCAGTTACCATTTGTTGGTCAGTCTTCGATTCTCCACTAATGTACTGACATCTCTTCTCAGTTGTGGTGTGCCCTCTCTCTTTCTCCTTGCAGATTTATGCCTTTATTTTTCTTTTAAATTTATTTGGTATCCTTTCAGTGGAGTTTCAGGAGAGAGAGGACATAGACACATGGGCTCAATCTACCAGGTTTAACTAGAATGCCAGAATGCAATTTAAATCCAGACCGACATACCTCCAAAGCTTTTACTCCTTCCACAATGCCATTTACTAAGTCATTCAGTGGAATCCAACAATAAATACCTATGGCATAGATTGTTAGTTGTCTAATCTAATATCCCTCCTTCCTTTATTAATAATAGAACCCCTACTTTTTTAGCAGGGCACATGGCTACCCAGAATAAAGACTTCCTTTCCCAACCTTCCTTCAACCTAGGTATAGCCAAATGACTAAATTCTGTCCAATGAAATGTAACTGGAAGAGTTATGTGGAGCTTCCAGAAAATTCTCTTAAAAGATAACCTGCATTTAGGAATGTCTTCCCGTTGCCTTCATATAGAAACGATAACTTGGGATGTTCACATTTGTATAAAACAAAGGATAAAGGAGTTTAAAGATAATGAAAACTGTTAGGGCATAGAAATTGAAACAGGAAACATTTTTATAGAATTTAAGCTATAACAAAATATAAAACGGTGTAGGATGTAGCATTTAAGAAGCTTCATGTGGTAAATAACATGGCATTCATCTGTAAAATGTTCAATATTTTGATGTGAGTGGTAGTTTTACTGATGTATACATAGTTTTTAAGCGCATTCTAAGTACTTAATAAAGTAATTGTTAAATCAAATACCAAAAAAGAAAAGATAACCTGCATCACATTTTGGCCCCCTTTTTTCCTTGCCCCTTCTTTCTTTCTGCTAGCTGAAATGTGGACATTATGGTTGGAGCTTGAGCAGTTATTTTGGACTATGGTAGAAACCACGTGCTGAAGGCAGCAGCTCAGAAAGACAAAAGGAGCCCTGGGTCCGTGAGGACTTAATGTAGCTACTCTACCATCTCCACATTGTGGATCTCCACATTTCTTTTACGTGATAGAGAAGTAAGCCACTGCTATTTTGGGGTTTCTCTCCCTTACAATGGAATCTAATTCGAACTGACAGAATGCCAAAGTGCAGTAAGACTTCAAAGAGAGTGGAACAGTCTTCCTAGAAAAGGCGATGGAGGAGATGGCCCTTAAAGGAAAGTTCAGCCAAGTGGGGAAGGGCAGGGACAGGGTCTCATGCAGAAACAGCGTGATTAGGGTACAGGGGCACCTCATGAGTTGTTTTCAAAGGGCAACACGTAGACCAGGCTGTAGTGGCCAAATCACGTGGGAGAGGAGTGGAAGATAAGAAGGAAAAAAGTCTGGGGGCAGATCATGGAGGGCTCTGGAACTTGAACCAAGTTTGAAGCAATGAAGCCACTGAAGGTTTTTGAGATGGAAGTTGGAGATACATGATTAGAATGTGAGGGAGGGTTAGGCTGAAGAATTCCAGAGCCTTCTACACACGTATATAAGGTTATATGGAGATGAGGCTAAGGGAACAAATCTGAGTAGAGAGAGAAGAACATGGGCTCAAAAACTCATTCGTGGGAACAAGGAGAAAAGAAACCTACAAAGAACCCAGAAAAGGAAGGAGAAAAGCAGCCAGATGTTGGGGAAGAGAAGAGGGTAGAAAATGATCGTGAGAAGTCCATAAACCTTTAGAGGTCTCAACAAAGCTAGAGAATATCAGAAATGAGTAAAGGACATTGAATTTGAGGACAAGGAAGTCTCTAGTGACCTCTGAAAGAACAATTTTGGTTGAATGTGAAAGGGCACGTTGGTCTTCGAAGTGTGAATACGTGTTAGGAAAATAAAGGTAGTAATGTGTTCCATTCATTTTAAAAGGTAGGCAGTAAAAGAAAGGTAAATTGGAAAGCAATTAAAGATCTCTATGGGATCAAGTGAAAGAATTTTTTAAGGAAGGGAAATGGGTCTTTAAGAGGAAACTCTGCCTATCGGTGAAGGAAGACACTTCCAGGCTGCTAAAATAGGTGATACCCGATGGAGCAGGTCTCAGAGGAAATAAGAGCAATGGAATTCCCAGCTCAGATGGCAGCTTGAACTTTGGAGAAAAGGAGGACAGCTCTTCTGAGAAAGAGAACTAGAGGAGAAGCAAGAAAGGAAGACTTGGATTTCAAGTCAGCCTTTCAGCAACAAATCTTTCATTAGCATCATCAGCACCATTATGGATCTGACCAGAAATAATAGTCCAAAGTAGCAATCTTTGCCAGTCTCTAAAATAAAAATGGCCATCGCTTAGCTTCAGAGTCAAAATCTCACACAAAACTCATAAAATAGAAGAAAGCTATAAATCTCACGTGGTAGCCCTGATTTTCTTGTCTTACAGATACCACCTTGATGAAGTTCATTTAGATGAGGGGAAAACAACAACCGAAAGTTTAGCTCATTTACACATTGATACCAGTGTTAGAAAAGCAAGCAACCCCCAATATGGACCTGAAAATTAATCACAGGATGAAATTTTCAATATCCATTTGTCAGATAGATCAAATGCCAATACCTACTCAAAGTACAGCGTGAGGTCCGTTGCTAATATTGACTGCTTCAAAAGCTGCATAAGGTCACTATATTCCTTGGAGGACAAATTAGCAAAGATGTTGTGACCCTGTAATGAGAAAGTAAAAAGTCACAAAAGACAACATTAAATCTGAGGTTGTTGATTACATGTGTTTCCTATATTAAAAAAAAAAAGTATGGGTACATGATAAAATCATTTAAGACAATTCAATGACATTTCGTGCAAGTACAAACAGATTCTCTGGCAGACAGAGCAAAGGCGGAAAGTGCAATCATTTTCGAGGATTACCAAGGGGCACTTTGTTATTCTTTATTAGACTTTATTAGTCCTAAATAGAAAACTCCGAAAATCTTTAAACTTACTGTGGATATGTTTGTGCCGACAACTTCATTTGACTGCCACTTCCCGTGGAATTTACTGAGTGTAGAAGTTGACAAAACATTTGGGAATCTTTCTGACCCTAAAATGAACACTAGTTTCTCTAATAAAGACTTAAGTTGGCATTTTGGAAGCACCGGCTATGGCAACAAAGGACTTCAAGAAGAAGAAAAAAAACCTTAGACCAGTGGTTCTCAGCTGAGGGTGATTGTGGCAATGGGGACTTCCGGCAACGCTTAGAGACACTTTTGATTGTCACACTGACTGGGTGTGTTGTTGGTGGGTAGAGGCCTGGGATGCTGCTAAATCTCTCACAATGCACAGGAGGGACCCCACAACAAAGATGTACCTGGCCCTGCATGGCAACACGGCCGAGTTTGAGAATCCCTGTGTGAAATTGTGAAGATACATCCCAATGAAGCGTGTGGTAGTTTAAGCTCAGTATGTAATTACTGAGTGGCTAGAATGTATAAGATGTGGTTCTTGGCGTAGTTCTTGGGACTGGTAAGATGACTTTTACCTAGGAAAACTTGCACCTGTATCTCCATACCTTTGGAAAGCATACTTCTTTTCATCAAAATTTGTTTTGGCTACATTAGACAGTTCTGCAATGTTTTTATAAAGTGAAAAAAAAATCCTTGTGTAAAGTGACCGACAATTCACTTAATCTGTTGTCAGGGACTTTTTCATTGATCAGGTTTTCTTAGCATGAATTATGAACTCATAAACACGAGGCCTGGGAACCAGAGGAGTTTTAAACCCGGTGTTGAGAGCCAGAAGGTGCTGCAGAAGGAAGGGGCAGAATGACTGCCTGAGAATAAACTATTCTCTACCAAGAGGTAAATTAATTCTTTCAGGGGACCAGAATATCAATTAGCAAATTAGTTCTTACCAGGCGCCAGATGATAATCTCCTTCCCTGGGTTAATTTATCTCATTGGGTGAACCCTCTGCTCCTTAAAGACTAGAGTATATTGGTTTCACCTGGGACCAGGTCCAATATTAATAATAATTTTCAAATGAACTCTTCTAGACCCTTAATTCAGCCATTAGGAAGAAGACAAATAACTAGAGGTAGGCCATGCCATAATTCTGCGCAGGTTTCTTTGCCTGAGCCTTGCCCCATGGATCAATCATGGGCTGCTGTGCTGGGGGCCTGGGAGAAAGTGGGTGGAAGCCGTGGAAAAGTCGTCACCCGGATCCAGACCCATGTGTCTAGCATCTCCTGGTGAAAGAAATATAGCATTTAGGAGTAAGTTACAGTAAAAACTATGTGGAGTTCAGGAGACAGTAGGTCTGAATTTGAGGATTTTTTTTTTTTAAGATTTTTTGTTTATTCATTTGAGAGAGAGAGAGAGCAAGAGCATGAGCAGGGGGAAGGGGCAGAGAGAGAAGCAGGCTCCCTGCTCAGCAGGGAGCCCGATGCGGGACTTGATCCCAGGACACTGGGATCATGACCTGAGCCGACCTGAGGACAGACACTTAACCGACTGAGCCCCCCGGGCGCCCTGAGGATCTTGACCATTTCGTGAGACAGCATGCTTTACCAATTTTAAAGGACATAGAGTAACTGACACAATTTACACCTAACAGAGTGATAAAGATAAGCTTTAATAAAAAGAATAGCTAATTTGCAGAGTATTGCTTATATGCAAATTGACCTTCTACAGTGCCTCAAGGGTTTGGTCCCTGAAACAGATCTGCCTCCCTGAAATACTGCTTCTACTCCTTGTTTAGGGAGCAAAGAAAACCAAATGTGGAGGGAGCAAGGTCTGGAGCGACTTTTCACCCTGCTGCTGCCTCATTTGAAAAGCGGGGTGATAATGACATCTGCATGTTTGCCTTTCTGAGGGGCAGGGCAGGAGCGGATGTGAGGGGAGTGCCAGGCCCCAACCCACACACCAGTTGCTCAGGGTACAGTTCCGTTATTGTTGTTCTTCATAGAGAACCCTGGAGTGAAGACCAGCCAATGTGTTTTGTTTGTATGAAGCCAAATTATGAGTTAGTGGGGTTTGTTTTTCCCAGGAAACAAATGACCCTCTGAGAAAACCCTAACACCCTGTTTCTAATCCCTGTCGTTCTGAAGGGGGGAGTTCCTGGGGTCAGAGGTACAGAAAACACAGTCTGCACCCAAGCTCCTCACCCTCCCTTCTACCCTCTTTCTTCCACAGCGCTCAGCTGAAACATGGCTTACATAGGAAAATTCCAGAGCCGCAGATGCTGGGATGCTGGTTTCTGTCAGAGTTGCTGAGAGCCTAACCCTTGATGTTTCATTCCCAACTGAAAATACATCTCCCCCAGCAGTTTTGCCCTTCCCCAGCCGCACTGGGTTCCGGAGTGCTGACTCTCCTTTATGGGGTCGAAGAAGGCTTTCGTGATATTGCAAAAGGCATGCTTTCTCAAGATAGGCTGGAGGAAGCCTGGAAAAAAACCCTCCATATTTAATGATGCTATTCCAGTGAAGCAGGGCCTTAATGATGATAATAATAATAATTAATGGCACAGCTAGAGAACTGACAAATAATGGGGAACAGATGATCCCTTCTTGGCCTAAAAAAAAAAAAAAAGTCTGTATGCCTGCAGAAAATTAAACAGATCCTTTCCTGGCAATTTAAAACTCAGAGGCCTCAGCCAGAGTCAGTTAGTGGTTTTTCTTTTTCTCCGTGGAGAGCTCAAAGTACAAAAGCCCAACTATTTTCAACTCCTGCACTGCCACGTGAAACAAAATAAGGCATATGACTTTAGCCCTGGGTCTCAAGTTTAGCTGCAATTCTCACTTTCAGACTGCTCCCACCAGCAATTTTGGGTTCTTTTATCTTTTATAGCTTTCTCAATTGTGCTAATAAAGTGTAACTTTCTCGCCCTGTTTCTACTTCTACTGTCTTTTAAAATGGCTTTGGATTTCGCGAAATGGGAACATTGGGCCACTCACTACTTGGACCAAGTCACTCTGTCGGTGGGCTTCTGTATTCCTTCAGGAAGGTAAGACTGTGGTTTGGTGACAAGCTATATAAGCAGTCTCCTCTGCTAAGTGGACCTGAAAAGTCTTCTTACCAATAATGAGACCCAAATGAAATCTGCTCAGGAAGAATTTGAATAAGGTTCTTAATCAGGCATCTGAAAGAATTTTAAAAAGCCACCAAGAAAAACAATCTTTTGGCCTAAAAAAAAAAAAAAATGTGCCCCTCTTCCCTGTATCTACCTGTGGCACTACAAAGAAAGAGGTAGCAAACATTGTTTTATTGGTTTTCTGTCAAGGGGAGAAGCAGAATATTAGGTCTGTACCTCACTTTGAAGGATCATCACAGCATGGTTAAAATGGTGATGCTCCAAGGTAGCGGAAGTTCCGTAGAGCTGGGCCAGGGCGGAGCCGCTCCTGAAAGAGGACAGAAGGGTGAGTGACCCAGGCCTTCCACCTGCCAACAATTCTCCCACACCAGCTCTTTGGATCAAACTGCTTTCCCTGCTTTGGCAAAGGAACATGAGCATCTACATTCTCAGGAAACTGTGTAGTTCACTCATCCATGAAGGAAATATTTCGAAAAACTTCTATGTGTTAGGCTAGGGCCGGTGGATGATACAACAATAAATGAGACAGAGTCCATGTTGCTAAGAAATTTACAGACTAGTAAGGAAGATGAGATGTGGTCATAAGGGAAAATAATGCACATAACCCAGATACCCAGATACCTTAGAAATTGTTCCAGGTCCAACCAAAGTGCTGTGGATGATCTGAGGACAAAAGACATAATTTCTAGCTCAGGGGATCAGGGTACGCTTGATGAACTAAACCTTATGTAGCTTCTGAGCGCCCAGAACAACTAACTGTCTTATACTAAATGTATTTGACGCTCCATGGGAAAGCCCTTGGAAATATTAGGCAGAGCCCATTTAACCGCTACATGTACGGCCGACAAGCTCCTACTACGGTTTCCCAGCCCACAGCCCCATTATATCTCAGGGTAGAACTCTGGTAAGTTCCCTGGATTTGGAGTCAGACCCTGGCTCTTGGTAATAGCTCTGGACAATTACTTGGGTGCTTTAAGATTCAGCTTCTTTGTCTCTAAAGTTATGATAATGCTACCTACCTCCTATTATTTATGAAAATAAAATAAAATATTTGAAAGTGCCTGTCATAATGCATGACACGTAGCAGACTGCAGTCTAGTAAATCAATTAAAACCCATATATATTTCCATCTGCGAAAAGAAAATGCTAATTGAGGGGCACCTGGGTGGCTCAGTCAGTTAAGCGTCTGCCTTCAGCTCAGGTCATGGTCCCAGGGTCCTGGGATCGAGCCCCACATCGGGCTCCCTGCTCGGCGGGAAGCCTGCTTCTCCCTCTCCCACTCCCCCTGCTTGTGTTCCCTCTCTTGCTGTGTCTCTCTCTGCCAAATAAATAAATAAAATCTAAAAAAAAAAAAAAGAAAATGTTAATTGATACTTGAAAAAATCATTTTGAAATATCCGTAAATTTTGCTCATGTAGAACAACGTAATTCTCAACAATATCAGTTCAGCAAAGTATTTGTTGGAAATGTCCAAGTGTGTTCATTTCCAGCTCGTGTGGATTAGGAATTAGAGCATCTTAAGAGCCAAGAGAGATCCAGAGACTCCTATAGTTTAAAGGGCAGTCCTGGGACTCTGACTAACGACCCATCTAGGTCCTTGTATTCTTTCCTGCTCATTCCAGGGAGTTTGGATGTTGAAAGGGCAATTTAGCTTTTACTTGGAAATGCCAGAGGTTGACAGCTCCCAGTCTGCCCTGCTAATGAGAGGAGCAAGAACTGCATTTATGTGCGATGTGAAGGATTTTGGTCATGAGCTGCCCTCCATCCCCAAGATCCCCAGCCAGATCAGGAGCCCAGGGACCTGTGATGCTTGCAAAGACTCAGAACTCACCACCTGTTGGGAGAAGCACAGGGTCCATAGGGATTATTATGAATAGAGTTGGTAAGGAGGGAACTAGATTTTAATCGGGTATGTGTTATTTCTTTCAATCTTACCTTAATCTATACCATTTAGTAAGTGAAAATTTGTTAGGCTACTCTTAGTAATCAATGATTAATTAATATTTAATTTTAGTTACGATTTTCTATCAGCTCATTCTTATGAAAATACATTTTTCAAAGTGTACACTGTATGCCTTTGGTTTGGTCTTTGAAATTCCAGGCTGTGTTATATGCATGTCACATCCAATTGCCTGGCATGGAACAGGTGCTTAAAAAATATTAGCTGCTTGGCTAATAAGCTTACAGTGGTATGGCTAGAGATTATAGTTGGAATTGGAAAGTTGACAGTAATAAGCGTGTTAGCATATTTTGTGATAATGTCTTTAACAATGATAGCTATCATGAGTACTTACCTATCATACACTAGGCAATATATTAACAACTTACTATATAATTTCATCTAGTCCTGACAACAGCCACAAAAGAGGTGTTATTTTTCTCATTTGACAGATGAGGAAACCGAGGCTCAGAAGAGTTATGCAACTTTCCCAAGATCTCACAGCTGGCAGGTACCAGTTCTGGACTGGAACCCAAGCTTGTAACTTTCTTCTCATTGCATCATGAGAAAGATAACTTTCTCATTTCTGCTACTGAGTCTCCATTTTTGCCAAGCTGGTTGTCATCAGTGAAAGAAGATTTCAAAATGTAATGCAGAATTTTACTTGTATAACTGCTAACCACAGGCTCAGATTCCTGTGACTTATTTCTATTCACCAGCCAGGCCCAGTTGCACCTCACTTAGTGGTGTGAATCCTGATAACAGAGCTCAGGTCACAGTGCAAAATATTCTCTCTTCCTTTATCATGTTGGTTTAGCAGACCTCACAAAAGTTAAACCAGCTAGATGATCACAAATTACATTTTCTTCTTTCAGGATGAGTAGGATGTTCCCTCCCTTAACCAGGGGACACCTTATAACGAATACTCTGGTGCCTCCTACATTGCCCCTCTCCCGCTTCCCCAGATCCACGGGGCTTCTGAGTGCTGCGTTCCGTCACAAGTCCTCTCGGGTGTTCCTGCAAATGCAGCCATGTGACTGTCCCCCATCTGAGCATCTTCAACAGCAGGCTCTCTCTTTGTTCCCTTTGTAATTCCATCTTATATTCTCCTGACTCTCACACAATACTGAGTTCATCACAAAAATATGTAGATTTTGCAACTGAAGCAGAGTAAGGCTACAAAAGTGCAGGAAGACATTGTGATTCATTCATTCATTCATTCATTCATTCACCTATCATTAATTCACCCAATAAGGACTGATGACTTTCAGCAAGCCAGGCTGCAGGCATGTGGAGCACAAAGATGAATAAGGCTTGGCTCTTGCCCTCAGGAAGCCCACAGTCCCCTATAGTTTTGTAGGAGACATTCTCTGATTAGACTTGCCCTGATAACACTCACCTTTCTGCAAACAAGGTGCCGTCTTAGCGTTCACAGAATAGAGCGTGAGACTAAACCTACTTCAGTTTTCTAGAGTAAAATCATATAAGCAAGAATGCTTCCATTTCCATATGGATCCTTTGTTTACACTGTTAGATTTGGTCGTTGTCAGTTTTTCTAAGACTGCAAAACCCCTTGGTGCTTTTTCTCTCGGGCCGAGTATCACTGAGGATGTTGCCTATACCTGCCACTGTCATGCTATGAACCTCCTAGGGCCACAGGAGTGAAGACATTAAACTTGATGTAACTGGCAAAAAATAAAATGTGTCTGTTAGGATATACCTTATCAAAAAGTAGTCTGCAGAATATTAGTTCTTTGAAATATTAAATGGCATGTGGGCAGAAATGAAAAAGTCCCATGGTCAAAATGCTGGGTTTAAAAAGTTAAGGTTTTTTTTTTTTACTGTAGGTTTTCCCAGTGGTATCGATATGTGAAAATACATTGTGATTTGGCAGGCGAGGAATGTAATATGCAGTATTAATCAATTTTACTTTATCATAAAACCATTTTTTAAAAGAGGCCATGTCTTTCATGTAATATATTTTGTGTAAAGGTATACTTCCAGTTTTTCATGTAAAATATGAAAAAGATACCCAAATCAATTTCATATGGAAAAAATGAACTTTCCAGCCTTCATCTTAATTGTCTGCGGTAAGTATATCCATCATATAAGAGCTTTGGGGCACACACAGTGTAGTTACGAAAATATTACATATCCAAATGTGGAGCTATGTATAGCTCCAAATTGTGGATATCCATATTATATATCCAAATGCCAAAAGCACAGGAATATTTATACATGTGATTATTCATGATGCTCATTATTGATTAGGTCATCCCAACATACTAAAGTTTTTCATTTTTGGATAGGCGACACACCAAGGAGACACTTATTAAAAAGAAACGTTGAAGTGAAAATTCTTTCCCTACAGGCATTCAGCACTGTGCACAGGGAGCAAAAATAAATAAATAGATAAACAAACAAACAAACAAACATGCAAAACATGCATAAGTTTGCTAGATGTGCATAAAGAGAGATGTAATGGAAATGTGTGGCCGTGGCTTATGGGAAAGTTTTAAAAGGAAAACTATGAAAGGTAATTAGGAAATTGAGAATTGCTGGGAGGTGGTGAGGAATGGGATTAGGCTGTCACAGCAGATTAATGTGCACCAGGATTTCACTTCTGGGACCTGGCCGAAAGCGACAAGATGGGTTTTCATTCCCAATAAATGAGTATAAGAGATTATGCTAGAAATGAATAGAAGAAGTCTCCTAGGAGAATATACTACAAAGCTGCTTGGTACTGATATTTAATCATCGGGGGCAGCTGTAATGGAGAGGGAGATGAGTGGGCAACGCGGTCCCTGGAGAAAACAGGAGAGAGGTGTTCACAGAGTACTTGCCAAGCATGGTGGGATAGCAGCCCTCTCTGCCTATTGATCATTCACTGCACGCGCTCCAATACTTAAAAATTAAGAATAAAATAGGAAAATGCAAAGGTTCACTCATCAGAAAGGCTAAGAGAATAAATCATATTGTGCTATAACTAAAGTCACAACTTTTTATTGTAGAGGCATTTTGCATTTTATATAGTAATTTGTCCCTTGCTAAATGTCTCCTGTTTCTTTATAGCCTTACATATGAATAAAAGGTACTGTATGCTTTGCCACATAATAATTGGTGCATTTAAATCCCATTTCCAAATCACTTGAAAGGTTGGAATTATACTGTGAATACTTTAAGGGAAGGGACTGTTTGTTATACTTCTTTATTTCTCCCACAATGCCTAGCACAGAGCCTTACACAATAAAGCACTCAATTATTGTGGAATAACAAAGGAAATGAGGATTAGATTTCTTCTTAGGGTTTTTCTAAACAATGGCACACTTACTGAATAAGTCTTATTCTAATCAATAAAAAGGTAATCCCTTCCCCATGATGTAAAAGGTCTCTTCCAGTATTCACTGTTGAAGGAAATTTTAACTGAGGTTGGGTTCAAAAGTGACTCTCTTAGGTAGAAGCAGGGCTGATGGACATCCCATGAGCTGGTAAATTGTGTACAAGTTTAATCGTCTCGAGGAAACACGTCAGACTACCTTGGAACGGGTAGATTTGATCATGTGGTATGAGGATGCCAAAAAAAAACCTGAATTCTAATATCATCAACTTAATACCTATCTCACATGTTGAAAGTTGTTTAATCTTACACCAGTTGCTTGAGATTGGGAAACTTAGTTTCCGTTTTTGTAAAATTAAGGTGTTGAAAAAAGATATAACTACCAAGGTTTAGTTCAGTTCTATGATTTTTTATGGCTCTGCGTCTTGATTTGCTGGATGTCAAAATATATTTTAGTTTTCCAGAGCTCACATATATGGCAAGGCAGCTAATAAACTGGAAGCTCAAAGGCCCCAAATAAATATTACAAAGTCATGAAAGAGAGTATGATGCAGTGGTTAAAGAGTGGCTTTCGGAATCAGGTAGCCCAGTCCAAATGCCACTCTGCCACGTTCTGGATGTATGAATTTGGGCAAGTTAATTACTTTCCTGAGGCTCAGGCCCTCCCTCTTAAATGGAGACAAAAAATATCTGCCCTATAGGTATGCTGGTGAGCACCGGAGGTAGGAAACAACACACTGTAGTTCCTCTCTTGGTCTCAGGGACTGTTAGTTGCAAAGAAGAGAAATCTATTAGAAGCAGCTTCACTAAAGAGAAGATTGATTAAAAGATAAAATGAACTCTGACAGAGCCCAATCATCACAAGTGTGGCTGGGTCTCCTGGAAAGGGAGGAGAGATGTGGAAAGCATGGATCAAGTCTGCTTTTTCTCTGTCTTTCTCTAGGGTTGTACAATCTCTTTCTGTTTCTCTCTGAATATCTACTTCTTCTCTTCTCTCTGCAGATTCCCTTTCTTGTCTCTCTTATCTACTTGATGTGGTCATCATGGCTTTCCCAGAATGGCAGCCTACAGCTCCCAAGTCTCTGTGGATCTGCAGCTTGGATCTCAACATCTAACTGAGTCAATATCATGGTAATCCAACTCCAAATTCCTAGCAGATAAAATACGATTAGCTGGGTTTTAATTATAGGTGTGTATTCTCAGTCCAAAATGCTGAGAGGTCAACTGGCAAGAAGGGCTGCCATTCTCAGTGTGATACACAGGCTTTCTCTGGGAGGGGACATTGGTATCTAAGCACAAGCATTGTGCCCTTGATTCTTAAAAAGAACCCACAAGGTGCTCAGTCTTGTTTTATGAATATAATTCTAATACATTTATTTCTTCTTTATGTGTAAGTGGCAGAATGGTAGGGGGCTGGAGAGAGGGTGCTAAAGGAAGATACAATGATAATGATGCCATTGACCTGAGAGAGAGAGGCATCCTAAAAAAATAATGAAATGCAGACACAGGAACTCAAACATAAGGAACTGTCACACTCTGTAATGAAAGTATACTCAGTTTACGCTTCAGTAGGCCCCAGGGACACTATTGTCTTAAGTGCAACATCAAACCTATGTGTATAAATACTATGTTTTATAATAATCTATAAAAGATTACACTTAACAAATCAGGAAACTTTATTGAAAAGCTATATTAAAGTTGTTGAATTGGTTAAAATAAAATCTCATCCATTTATCCATTCATCATTCATTCATTCACTCATCAAACATTCCTTGTGTGTTTCTTATGCTCTAGGTACTTGTTACGCATTACAGGTACTCAAGAAGAAGGAAAGACACAGCGGTAAATCAGCAATTAAAATGTAGTGAGATGCATACTTTTGAAAAAGCAGAAGTCATTATGTGGGCACAGAAAATTGCAAAGGAGGGCGCCTGGGTGGCTCAGTTGGTTAAGCAACTGCCTTCAGCTCAGGTCATGATCCCGGAGTCCTGGGATCGAGTCCCACATCAGGCTCCTGGCTCAGCGGGGAGCATGCTTCTCCCTCTGACCTTCTCCCCTCTCATGCTGTTTCTCTCTCTCTCTCTTTCTCAAATAAATAAATAAAATCTATATATATAAAAAAAGAAAATTGCAAAGGGGATGGTACCTCAGGGATAAAGCCCAGAGGGTGATGCTTTCAGAGGAGTTTTGGGGAAAGGAGAAGAAGGGCATTCCAGGCAAGGCAGGCAGCATATCGGGGATCAGAGAGAGGTGATTAACTGGACCCCCCTCGAGCACTGCAAATAGCCCCTGTGTCTGGAACACTGATGTGCTGATGGGGGTGTGGGTGGAAGGAGTGGGTGCTGGGCCAGGAAAATGGGCAGGAGCCTGACTGAAAAGGACCTTCAGAGGCTAACCTAAGCAATTTGAACATTATCCTGAAAGTCACAGGAGGCCAGTGAATGTCTTTTAAGCAGGAGAGTGATCTCGTCAGAATATTTGTGAATTATAAAGATTATTCTGGAGTGCCAGGGAGGGGGAAAACCGGAGGAGGGAAGTTGGGCTGCTTGTTGTAGCAATCCAGGACAGATGTGAAGAAGCAGCAGTTAGAGTAAGGATGTGGAGATTTAGACTTTGAGGGGTGCTAGGGAGAAGATCTGGGTGCCTTGTGGATTTCTGGTGCTGCCACTCACTGGGATAGAGGAAAAGGGAGAGGGAAAGACTGATTCTGAGGAGAGTGGGGGACTCCAGCAGGAGTCAGAAGGAGGGAGCGGCAAAACGTGCCTGAGGGCCAGAAGGGCCAAGAACGAAGCTTTGGGAAAAGGGGTCCCTGGGGGTCTCCCCAGGTCAGGTGGCCCTGGAAGCCAGGTGGAAGGCAGGGGCTGAGGAAGTGAAGACAATGAACAGACAACTGTCCAAGAAGACTGAAGGGGAAGGAAAGAAGGGAAGAGGACAGAAGCCGGAGGGAGAAGTGGGGATCGAGGTGGGCTTCTTCAAAATGGGGGAGAATCGTTCACATTAACAGGATGCTGAGCACTGGTAGGAAAGGGTAGGAGACACGAGGCAGAGAGAGGAAGATTGATGGAGGGGGGTCCCGCAGGAGGGGGCAAGGAAGGCACCCAAAGCCGAGGCAGAGGGATTAGCCTCGGGCAGGAGGCAGCACAGCCCTTTGGCTGAGACAGGAGGGAAGGATGAAAGGATACGGCCAGACAGATAAGTTTCCACACGGCAGGGCGGGAAACTGAGGGAGTGCTCAATTGATGGCCTCAGTTTTCTCGGTGAAGGAGGAGGCACGGTGATCTGCTGAGTGGTGCGGGGGGGGGGTGGTAGACAGGAGGTGGTTTAGGAAGGGAGAACAGTGTGGTACATATAAGTGCTAAGAGCAATGGGGGATGGAACCGGCTGGGGACGCAGAAAGATCAGCGGGGGGTACAGAGCCGCCAGCTGAGTTGGGACAATATATATCTGGTATGTCTCAGACTCTCGCAACTGTGACATTTTCTCCCAAAGCCTTTAAAAATCTAGGTAAAGTAGCAAGAAATTGAATTGTTTGATTGAACTGGGGCTGAGTTTTTGCAGAGTAGATGTCACAGAAGGTTAAGAGGGTCAAGAAATCATAGGATATTGAGTAGAGAGGGTTGAAGTGACAGGCTATAATAGGATCCAGGATGCATAGAGAAGTGAGTAAGATAAAAACTCATTTGCTCGATCAGGAGTAAATGCAAGGTGCCAGGACTCAAAGGCCTCAATAGGTAGATGTTCCAGGAACAAAGTGAGTGGTGCGCTGTTGACGTTCAGTGGGCTGTTGATGTTCAGACTGTGGAGGCAGACCTGTTCAGGGGCTTCGAAATCAGTCACCTGACAGTTATCTTACTTCTTTGTTGAAGCCTTCTTTAACTTCTCCAGCCCCAAACTTTTTGCTCCAGAGTCTGAACTAACATATCATTTTGTTTGCAAACAGAGAGTAAAAAGAACATTGAAATTGGACCCTCAACCTAAGTTGAGAGACTGGGGTTTTGGTCTTATTTCCAGCACCCATACATTCTACGGCCTTGGCCACAGTGTGAGCCACCAAGCAATGGTTATCTTGGCCAATCCAACTTGCTTAGGGGCAGATTATTTTGTCTGTGCACATTATGTGCTCGCACATCCCCGGTCCTGATGCAATCCTTTGTTTCTCACCTTTCTGTGGGAGGACGGATGAAAGCAGCAGAGACCCTATTCCTCACGTTGCTTTACTGTTACTGCAGCTTATACAAACCCACCATTAAAAAGCCTGCAAGAGATTCTATTGGGTGAAGAAAGATATTTTGCTTCATAAAATTTCCCAAGACCACTTTTATTTTAATAGTCTCAAAAACTGACTTTGAGAGTAGCAAGTCCAGGATGCTTATAATGCCATGAAGTCAAATATTCTGGGAGAAAAAAAAAACAGGCCCTTTAAAATCTGAGCTTTGTTATCTGACTGAGGTCAACAGAGACAGACCAAATCAACAAGCATGACATGAAGGGCAAATTTGCAATTAAAAGAAGAATAGGGAATTATAAAGATGGATGAGCCCCATGACATGCACACCCAAGTCTGCGTGGCCTTGGCCTCAGATGCCAGAAATTAATGCTTTACTCTTTAGCACTCGTCACCTTTGGCTCTGAACAGAAAGGCAAATGCATTAAAATAACAACAATTAGAACACTTACTTAGCTTGGAAGGCATTGTTGGTTCCCCTGTGGTCAAGGTCATGACACAGGCATCCCACAATCACTGCTAAAATTTCCACCTCGGTCAGAATCTCTTGAAACCCTGCAGTCTGGGAAGAAGGGAAAATGGCACAGTCACTACTCAGGGCAGGGAGGATGGATAAGGTTCATCCTCTGAGCAACAGTCAGCTCTGTTTTCATACTCACATCATTTAGGGTAATGATTAACTGCCATCCCCTTCGATGACAGTCAGTTGGGTGGTCAGTTGCAGAGCCTAAGGTCCCCACAGTGATGAATTAGCTGGCTGTCATGGTGGCCCACCCTGGCACACCAGGACACAGTTCAGACTATTTTGTTCCCTTTTTAGAGAAGAGGCTGCACTATCCAGATACAGTGACAGTTTGGCAGCCGCCCAGAGCAAAATATGTTTTGTAATTCTACATTGCAATGATGAGCATCTAGTGGTATGAGGAGAAAAGAGGGCTGTGAATTGAGAAGTGAATGCTATATCCATCAGTGGCCACTCAAAGGAAGGCAGGCAAAAAAAACCACCTTTCATATATACATGTATATTAAAAGAAGCAACTTAGAGGTATCAGATTGCTACATGATAATATTCGAGAAGTTATCTTGTGACTACCTTCATTCATACTAGCTTGGACGACAGATTAAATTTATACAGATAATAAGACAGGGTACGTCTTGAAAACTAGGATTTGGCAGATGATTAGGCAATGCAGATTGAGCATCAGGTGGAGTATTATTGCATGGAATCCTTTTTTTATTAGCCTATGGTAGCATGCTCTTGGGATGCATAGGCTGGATGTGAGATCTTTGGGGAGCAGCATGATGTAATTACAGAACCAAGGTTGGTTGGTTCCTGAGGTCCTTTGGTTAGTTTAGAAGAAGGAAGTGAGCCTCTGGAAACACAAGTCTATGCATTTTCTTGACCCAAAGCCTTTATGTTTCCCCCTTTTTACTTAGTTAAGTCTCCCATTTCATTCCTTATGAAAATCTTTATCAGAGGGCAGGAGGAGGGGGAAAGTGGGGTTCAAATTGCTTCCTTTTTCATGTATGTTTTTTCCCCAAACCTTGGACCAATAGATAGTATCTGTAAGACACTCCTTTAGAGCAATGAAAACTTTGTTTTTTAATCAATTACGTTTAGCCCCCAGCAAAGCTGTGTGCGCCCTTTCATTTTAAAATTTGGAGTTGGCTGCTCATTTTAAGTTACTTTTATTTTACTTCGAGTATTACCTGAATAGTTATAAAACAAAAATCGAATCATGGTAAGAGGTTTCGAATCAAAAACAGTAGTCTCTCATCCTTTCCCCTTCCTGACTCCCAAAGGCACTTAATCTTTCCCTAATTTGATAGTTATTTCCTACCATATTTCTAGATAGTATGACCATAGTATTAGCACTTGGTTATTCATCAAGTATGTATATAGTCCTCCCTCTGTGCCGACAATCCTAAGAGCTCTCCAACTGTTTCACTGACTTAAATCTCACTACTGCCCTGTGGTCCTAGGAACCACTGTTATCCCCAGGTACAGATGAAGGCATTGAGGCACAGGGAAGCTGGGTAATGTGCCCAAGGACTCACAACTAGTACGTGGCAGAGGTGGGCAAGCTCCCAGCATCCAGGTGCCGGAGTTTACCCTTAAACACTGATGTCTTGTGACAGGGGAGAATTCTCTTCCCTTCCCCTCTTCCCTCCCCTCACACTCACAATGCAGTCCAGATCCACACTCTCTGTATAAATATACACAACTAAGCCAACTAGTGTCCAAGGTTTGTGTCCTTTCTGATGTAAATGTTTTTATTTCCTGGAGTTAAGATTTCTTTGAACATCGAAGCCTTCTCACATCCTACACAGCTCTCTAAAGGGTCACAGCATTTCCTCGATGCCTTCCTGTCCCAGGGACCCCCTGCAGTAGCCTGGTCCTGCTCTTTGGTCTGGATTCTCTGTGGGCCGTCAGCTTTCCTCTCCTAGGGGTGACCTCCGGGGTCCTGCACCCCACCCCTCTCTCCTTCCTCAGTTCCTCCCTCATTTTGCAGGAGCACATCTGCCAGTGGCTTAATGAGAAAGGGTGTTAAGTTTTCAACACTGGGGAGTGCCTTAACTTTTGAGGCTTTGCATGATTGAAAATGTCTTTATTTCTCTATTCAGTTGTTAGCTTCCCCTACAATGCTAGCTTGCAACATTTCCACTCAGAATTTTGAAAGACTGCTCTATTGTTTTCTAACTTCTGAAGCTGTTTTTGAGAAGTATATCCAATTCTCATTCCTAACAAATCAGATGTTATTTGATTTTCTCTCTCTTAGAATCCTCTCTCTATCCCTGGGTTTTGGCAACTTCACAAAGATGTGCTTTGGTTTGGGGCTTTTTCCCCCCATCGTTTTGCTTGGTGAGGCTTTTCAACCTGGAGGCTCATTTTCCTCAGCACAATGTTTTTGTAATCTTATATTTTAAAAAATAATTTCCTTTTCACTATTTTTTGGGTCCCATTTGAATGGAACTCCAATTGGTTGGACATTGGACTTCCTGTATTGATCTCTTTATAGTCTTGTCTCTTCTTTCCCATTGCTCATATTATTGACTTTTCCCTCAGTGTCCAGGAGTAATAATTTATAAGCATTTTCTTATTTGTTGCTCCTTTTCTCATAGCATGCTATTCTCTCATGGATGCATTTTCATCTCATCTTTTTGAAGATAATAATTATAATTCCTCTGAAGTTCTCTTCTGCTCCTTGATTGCCTGTGTCCTCTGAACTCTTTTTCTCTGTATTTGCTGGTTTCCCTCAAACGCCTGATATCCTTGAGCGTCTAGTCATATAAGAGTAAAGCATTATAATGTTCACCACACAACAGCTCATGGGGGTGGTATCTGTAGATTGCTGGGCCTTACCACCAGGCGAGCAGAAGGCCAGCTGGCCTTTTGTTGGACATCCCTAAATGTCAGTATCTAAGCTCATTTTCTCTGGACTTGCCAATCTTTTGCTTGGAAATGGTGTAAACGTGGGTGTTGGCATTTTGAGAAAAGAGAACTGTATCTCCTCATCTTTGAGAATGTAGACTTTCACTTAATTCTCTCATTTTCAGGGTGTACCTCACCCTAACTTTTCTTTTGCTGGTGTCCCCAAGTCAGTTTAGTTTCTCCAGCAAATATCCTGGTTTCCTGCAGAGGTGAGGGGAAGAGTAGCCCTCTGACTACATGGAGAAGGGGTGGAGACTTGGGGACTCAGTTTTCAGCACCTCCTCACGCTACTTCACCCCACTTTTTAAATTATCTGATGCCTCTGGTTCCTGAGCCTTGATAGATTCTGGGGAGATGTTTCCTTCCTTCCTTCTTTCTTTTTCTTTCTTTCTTTCTTTCTTTCTTTCTTTCTTTCTTTCTTTCTTT